GCTGGCAGATGGAATCCAGAGGAGACCCAACCTGTGCGATCTAATTGGTCTGAGAGAGGTAATCGGCAGGAGGCGGTCTCTGGACATGGAATATTTCAAAATATGGGATTCGTTTTATCAACTAGTTTGTTTTATCAACTAACAAACTAAGTAACAAGCCCCTTGTCTTGGCGAAAGGGCCTTCATAGTTCAATGAAGCTATGAGTTATGCCGTGCAGGACCACCTAAGATTGACAGGTCATAGCAGAGAGTTCTGACAAAATGTGATCCACTGGAGAAGGAAATGGCAACCCTCTCCAGTATCTTTGCCATTACCAAAAGGCAAAAGGATATGATGCTGGACAATGAGCCCCTCAGGTTGGAAGATGTCCAATATGCTATTGGGGAAGAGCAGAGGGTACTAGTAGTGCCAGAAAGAGTGAAGCGACTAGGCCAAAACCGAAAGGATGCTCAGTTGTGGATGTATCTGGTGGTGAAAGGAAAGTCCAATGCTGTAAAGATCTATACTCCATAGGAACCTGGAATGTAAGATCCATGAATCAAGGCAAGCTGGACGTGGTCAAACAAGAGATAACAAGATTGAGCATCGACATCTTAGGAATCAGTGAACTAAAATGGAGAGGAATGGGTGAATTTAATTCAGACGACCATCAGATATACTACTGCAAGCAAGAATCCCTCAAAAGAAATGGAGTAGCCTTCATAGTCAATAAAAGAGTAGGAAAAGCAATGCTGGGATACAATCCCAAAAATGATAGAATGATCTCAGTTCGAATCCAAGGCAAACCATTCAACATCACAGTAGTCCAAGTCTTTGCCCCAACCACTGATGCTGAAGAGGATAAACCTGACCAAAAGCCCAACACTTTATAGAATCATCACCAAAAAATGATGTCCTTATCATCATGGGGAATTGGAATGCTAAAGTAGGAAGCCAAAAGATAACTGGAATAACAGGCAAGTTTGGCCTTGGAGTACAACATGAAGCAGGGCACAGGCTGATAGAATTTTGTCAAGAGACAACTCTTTTCCAACAACCCAAGAGACGACTCTATACATGGACATCAACAGGTGGTCAACACAGAAATCAGATTGACTATGTGCTCTGCAACCAAAGATGGAGAAACTCTATACCTATGATGGCGAACTATGGCACACGTGCAACAGGTGGCACTCGGAGCAATTTGTCCAGGTACGTGAAGTGTTGCCTGTCAGGTTCACTTCGGCTTTCGGTTTTGGCCATTTTTCACCCTCTGGAGGCTTCTTTGAAGCCTCTGGAGGCGAAAAACGACCCAAAGTGCAAACCGGAAGTTTGGGAACAAGTTTGGGTTGGTTTATGCTTCGAAAGAGCCAAGGAGGAAGAGTGCAGAAAGGGGAAGTTGCCTCTTGAAAAAACACCTTTGGGACAACTATGATCTGCTGAGAACTTCCATAGACACCTAACAAGAAAACACTGAATAAATTGGAAAAACAGTTTCAGCAACTTATTACTATGAATTAATAAATGTCTTCATTGCTGGGAAAGTCTCTATTCACTAAGTTAGATAACTCACTCACTGATGTAACGAAATGAAGGGAAAATATCATTTCAATATGCATAAAAAATTCTGAGAAGTGGTTTATTTATATTGAACATGTCCCCTACCTAGGGAAGCATATGATCCTGGAGGCAGACCAGCAGTTGCTAAGTGACCAGTTCCTGATGGCTGACTGATAGCATGACGTGCCTTTGCCCCAGCGGCAGCATTAACATCAATGTCACTGCAAGACCTCTGCAGTGTTCCTAAGGTCGGCTCTGCTTTGCTGCCACTTGAAACTGAAAGAAAACAGAAAACTGCATATCAATATTCCCACCACATTTGGTACTTTAAAAAGTCCTAAAGAGATTTGCCTAAGTTACTTCTAAAATTTCTGCCTGGTCTTGTACATTGAGCAAATTACCTCTATTAGCCATACTTGCAGAACTGGAGGTGGACCATTTTGAAGAAAAGGGACGACTGAAAGAAAAGCAAAACAATAGTTTTTGTAATGTAAATTATTTAACATTTCATGTTCTCTTCAATACTCTTAAACTTGTATAAAACTCTAATCAGGAAACTTTTTTGCATGAAAAATCTTGGAACATTTTCCTGAGCAACTCAATTCAGTGTCACTATTTCACAAAACCTTCTATAGACTTTCACATAATTCTAATATAGAATGCACACTGAAAGATAGGTACTATCTAAATAAGGCAGTGAGGATATATTACATTAAACTACATTTTTATCTGCAATAATATGTGGAAATAGCCTTGGAAGGCAGGAGTAAGAGCTGCAGACTAGGCAAAAGTCAGATAAGAGGTAGCTGAGCCTTTGGAAGGACTGTGGATAAATGATTCAGAAGAGACTCTTCCTAATTTCTTTTGGATTGTAAAGGTAAAGGGTGAGAAATGTACTTTCAAATTTACAATAATCTTTTAAGGCAATCTGTTAATGAAATAATAAAGTTAGAGCTGTTACCTCTGGGTGCGCCTCTTGCAAGAGAGACAATACCTATAGTTACTTATTCAGCAGGTGGAAATAAGTTCAAGAAAAAGGCCCTAATCTGACGCGGACTGTATATAGATCTTGTGGGCAGAAATATTTTCTTTAGACTGACACTTACTTTAGACTTTCTTGTGAGCTGGAAGATGACCTGTCTGATTGTGGAAGTGATGCAATGCTACCAGAATTCTTCAAGTAAGTCTGGAGACTTCTTTGATAGGATGGTTCAAGACTATTATACAGAACTTCTGCCTCACCAGGAAAATGATTTCTTAGGCCTAGATAAGTCCTAAAAGAAACCACATAAAATAAAATTTCTTTATTAGAGAAAGGAAAATATTTCTGGAAACAGAAACAATCTTCCAACACTAGTAAAAAAAAATTCTAACATTTTAAAAACTCTCAACTTCACAAAGCTCGGAGTCCAACATAGCTAGAATGGAACTATTAACATATTATTATGTATGCTCCCTGGAGTTATTGTATGCTAGTGGGTGGTCACATACATCTATTTATTTTTGTTTATTAAATAAATTTATGTGACCATCCAACTAGCACACAATCACTCCAGGCGCCATACAACATTAAAAATCAACAATATCGTATGAACCCCAGAACTCCTCTCCTAAATTTGTGGGTTATTCTTTTCTGCTAAAAAGTATCAATACTTTCCAAATTACCGTACTTAAATCAAATTTTGAATTAATCTTACTTTCGTGCTTCCACTCTTGCCTCAGCATCAGCATCATGAATGCCCTTCTTGATAGTTTCAACCAGAACAGCTGCATGCCTGTAAGAGAAAACCAGAAATAAATATTACTTCTAATTTATCTTAACTTTAACAGAGGAGTTGCTGTTTCTTGAAAAAACTAGATAATGAATTCAAAAAAGTTCTGAGAAGAGAGTAGCACCTGACCAGCTTTACCCAGATCCAGATGCCAATTGGCTCCCTGCTTTTGGGCAACATTGGGAAAAGCCTAGTGAATAGCTATAATAAAATCTTAGGGTCAAGATATGTCTACTCTCAGTTCTGCAGGAAATCTGAAAAAGAAATTTAGAAGTTCTTAGTTTACACAGGGATGAGGATTAGGGATTGAAATTCTAGCAAGATAGCAATTCTGCAACATATCATAGGAGATAGCATTTATGATAATATGTTTCTGATAGAGATAATGGGAGAATGGCGAAAGTTCCGGTAAGATCTTGGTTAAAACAAAAGAAAGATAAGGCAATGATCCCAACTATTAGGGATGAAAGAGATGAAATTCATAACACTTTAATGGATATAAATTGTCATTTTTAAAATTTGATTCAGACTTATATAGTATTCAAGATAATGTATTGAATGAAGATATTTAGTGTTTTAAAAAGTATAATTAAGCTACCTCAAGTAGATTATAAAAACTTGTATTTGTTCCACTCTCTGAAGTAGAAATTAAACAAATAATTTTTAAAAGGGAAAGTAGTAAAACACCAGAATTAGATGGAATCCCTATTGAGATATTAATTATTAATTAATGAGGGTGGCTATCTTAGAAAGGAAAAGAAAAAGAAAGATTAACCAGAAAAAAATGTGATCTTGAAGGATTAATGTGATCTTGAGTCAGCTAGGGAAGGAATAGTATGTAGATATAGGTGTGCAAAAATACTCTTCCAGGAAATATTATTTGCCTATCACTCACAAAACTTAGAACTGTACTTAACTGCTACCATTCAAAAATAAAATTGAATTTCTATAAATATGTTTCTCTTTAGAAGAGAGGATTTCAGTTACAGATCTAATGTTTTGAATGCAAAAAGCAATTTTAGCACTATATTTGACTGAGACGATCATTATCACAAATATGATTTCATAATTTAATAAGAGATGCTGTTAAAATTAGGAGTGCCTTGGAGTTGGTCAGTTATAACAAATTTGAAATGATAATGACACTATTAAACAACAGCTGCCTATTCCAGGTCCTTGGGAAGAATTTGATAGGTGTATAAAAATGCCAAATCTATTCTAAATATCTAGTTGACTGTGAAATCAATCATAGTAATAATAATTTACAACTGCGCTGATACCTCTGTCAATAATACTGAACAAGTCAGGCCATGGCTACTAAATATCAAAAACATATTCCAAGTTATCCCACTTCCTTTTATATGGATGAGCTGAAACTATAGAAAAACACAACCTGAAATAGAATCACTGCTCAACCGTTTTCAAATATACAGTCAAGATATCACAATGGAGTCTGGATTAGACAAATGTGCCACCTCACTGATAAAGAGAAAAAATAGTGAAAACTGAAGGAATCAAGTTGCCCTATGGAAATAACCTCAAGAGTCTGGATGCAAACTATCACTACAAACAGCAATAGCAACAGCACTTAGACTTATATACCGCTTCACAGGCCTTTACAGCCCTCTCTAAATACCTGGGCATCCTTCAAGCTAACAATATCAAGTACACCAAATAGATTAGAAGTGAATGCATTATGTGAGTGAAGAAGAACTTAATATCTGAACTCAATGGCATAAATACGATCACTGCAATTAACATCTGGGCAATCCCAGTAGTTGGACACACAGCTGGAATGGTGGACTAGACTAAAACAGAACTAAAAGTCCTAGATAGGAAGATAAAAAAAAATACTTAAAATGAATCATGCCCTTCATGTCCACAGCAATATTGGTCAACTTTACTTACCAAGAAAAATAAGTGAGCATGGAATGTTGCAAGAACACCAGATAGCTGAAGAGAAAAAAAGGCATTGGGAGAATATCTCCGGGACATTGAAGAAGATACACTGAAACTACTATACAGTGAAGGCTTACGGAGTACTCTAGAGAGGCCAACCTGCCTACTAGAATGATAAAATGAAGAACAGAAAAGAGAGATGGCAGGGAAAAATATTTCATTGCCAGTACATTAAAAGTGAGCATTAGAAATAACGAAAAGTGTGAACAATCCACTGAAGCTAATACATAAAAATAGCATGCAAAGTAGATAATAACAAGACCTGACACTAGGTAGAGCAGGAAAGTTGAAAAAAAACCTGAGGTCACATAAGACCAAGCCTTAAAGCAAATGTGTACAAAGTCAAATTGAGACAGCAGTATAGACAGCAAATACCGCTTCTGCAAAGGAGCTGAAGAAACAGTGGACCACCTAGTCAGCTGCTATAAGCAGACTGCACAGAATGACTATAAACAACAGCATGACAAAGTAGCAACAATGGTACATTAGAAGACGTACAAGAAATACCATTTGCCTTTAAGCAAGAAGTATATCCTAGGCAAAAAAAAGTCTGGATAGTAGACATAGAAATACCTGGAGACAGCAGATAGAAAAGAAAGAACTGGAGAAAATCACAAAGTACAAAACTTGTAAATAGAAGTAGAGCAACTAAAACAAAACTTTTGGAGCATTGCTTGAACAGCTTCAGCATTAACAAAATCACCATCAGTTAATTGTAAATGGCAGCTTTACTTGGAATAGCTTACAACCTATGACAACACTTTTAACACCATCAAATAACGTTTGTCTATTTCAGATCCTTTAGAAGGATTAGATAGGTGGATAAAAATGCCAAATCTAATCTAAACTGACTGTGTGACAACTGCAATAATAAATTAACATTACCAAACAACATCTTTCTATCCCAGTTCCTTGGGAAGGACTCAACAGGTGGAATCTTAATTCATTCTAAACCTCTGGCTGACTGTGCTGAGAGAGCAGGCTGAACCAGAGTAGGCCTCAAGCCTGAACCAAACTAGGGTCTCATGATATTAAGCTTTAG